CTTCATGTGCTTTAAAGTTCTTCATGTGCTTTAAAGTTCTTCATGTGCTTTAAAGTTCTTCATGTGCTTTAGAGTTCTTCATATGCTTTAGAGTTCTTCATATGCTTTAAAGTTCTTCATGTGTTTTAGAGTTCATGTGCTTTAAAGTTCTTCATGTGCTTTAAAGTTCTTCATGTGCTTTAAAGTTCTTCATGTGCTTTAAAGTTCTTCATGTGCTTTAGAGTTCTTCATGTGCTTTAGAGTTCTTCATGTGCTTTAAAGTTCTTCATGTGTTTTAGAGTTCTTCATGTGCTTTAGAGTTCTTCATGTGCTTTAGAGTTAGAATAAACCCAGAAAAATTGGATTTAAAGGCTACAGACTGCACCATTTGTAAATTCTGTGCATGATAAAAAGTGATCTAAGGGCTACGATCCCTGTTCTATTCGCTAACTCTCAATTTATCTCACAATTGATTAAATTTTAGATAAACTACTGGAGAAAAGAAGAAGATGAAGAAGAAGGGGCACCCCAGAATATTTTATCTGGACAACGCGACCAAGGACTGATTATTGGTCTGGAGCCTGATACTTGGTATACTGTTAATGTACAGGTCTTTAACGGCGCTGGCAATGGACCTAAGAGTGAGGTTTTTCATCAGTCCACTGACAGAGCAGGTAGGTTGTTGTTTTAAAATGATCAAGCGTTTTCAATAGCCAAGTGATGGGGCATTTAACTGACTAAAGTTCCAGACAGACTTTGTACAAAGTTACAGATGAAAATGGGTGGCTAGGGTGTGCCAAATAAACTATATTAGCTATGTGGACTCTTTGAAAGGGAAACACAGTTGCAGAGTTGTATAAGGTGTCCCAGAAGGGTGAACATGTCCATCTTAACCAAACAGGCCTACACCAGCTCACTGTCCTGTCATCGTTTAATCAAGAATGGTTTAAATTTCAGCTCCACAACTCTATCCTACCGAGATTTATGTCCATTCTCATGGGTCTGACTCTGTCAGGGTTGACTTTAGAGGTGTCAGCACACAAAATTTTGAAGAACCATTACAGGGTTATAAGGTGGGTATAAAAAATAATAGAATTTTGTTGTCAATAGTAACATTATCAATAATGGCCATTTTTTTTTCAATTTTTTGAAAGTTTCAGTTTCTAATATGCCTGGAAAATTCTACAACAAGCAACTAGCCGTACAGTCTTAGAACACAGAATGTCTTGCTTTCTATTATGGAAAATTAGGACATGTGTGTTTTTCTCTCTTTGGATTCTGTATTTGGAATGAGAATAAAGACTAAGGTGATTATATTGTAGATAAAGTTTTGGAGAATGGGAGAGAACATCAGAAAGGCATTACATTATGATTGTGAGAAATCAAACTATGGTATAATATCTGGTGTCGAACCTAACGTAGTGTATCAGCTTCGAGTATTTGGTTACAGTCAGGGGGGACAGGGTAAAATGAGCTCACCGGCAACTTACTTTACATTGGGTACGTATTCTCTTGATCTATCCTGGGTCACCATTGGCTTAAGAATGAATGACAGGGTATAAAGAGCTCAGGAAGAGCTTACTGACAGTCTTTGGAACTAATGTGGGTCCATTTTTAAGAGGATAACAGCTTAGATTCACCCTGTCTACCAGCTGGTCCTTGGTCAAATATTTGGCATTGATTAGTGAGGGGTTGACATGCAAAAAGCATCTAGTCGTTCGGATGGGACAATAAACCGAGGCCCCGTGTGCTACAGGCTGTGCACGTTAAAGATCCCTTGACAGTTGGAAATCGAAAAAGAGCAGGCTAATGCCGCTGTCCTGGAGAAATTTCTCTCCTTACCACCCTGCATGGCGTTGACCGTCTTCATTAGCCCACATGGTGCAGAAAAGTAGGACGTAAAACTCCATTTATTTCATTTCATTTACAACTGGGTTGACTTGAATTATGAGGAAAGATGAATTATATAAGTTCACCAGACATTCACATGCTGGCCATGAGAAGAACCCACAACCACAGATGGTCTACGTAACCAAGCAACTGAGGTGAAAGTCTAAGGTTTTAAATCAGAAACAAAAAATATGATCTTCACCTCCAATTAATCCCATGTGTTTTTTTTTTTTCAGGTGGTTTAGTACGACTGGATCCGTCATCAACAGAAATTTTAGCTGGATCATCTTGTCTATCACCTTATTGTATGGTGATTTTACTCTCTTCCTTAATAGCGTTATTATATCACAGATTATAAACACACACTATCACACTTCCTGCTCTACATCACATTCGTACATCACATCACACAAGATGTGTGTTTATTGCTTACCCACTATTAAACTCATAAGCCTAGTACTATACCCATTTCATGATTATAAACACACACTATCACACTTCCTGTTCTACAGACACGATGTGTGTTTTTTGCCCTCGCACTATCGTATTCCTACCATACTCATAATCACACAAGATGATGTGTTTTTATAAACTCTCTTACAGTAAAGTACCCCATTAATAACTAGAATATAAACACACACAATATATTCTAGAACACACATAAGTAATGTGTGTTTATATATTACTCCCTTCATGATTTTCATGTTAATAAAAACACACTTTCATGCGCCTATTTAGATCACTCTCACACACCACATAAAGGATGTGTGTTTTTATTATCCAAATGCCAAAATAAAACCTGTTTATTTATATTGGTAAAAAAGATTTTAAGGGTACATTTTTGGGTAATGATTTTTGGTCATGGTCATAGTAACATTCATAGGGTATTTCTCCATTTTTACTTACAATGAACAATGATAACGCCTTCATAATTAAACGCTTAACTTAAACGCTATTCACATTCTATGTGCTTGCTTATACTTTTTTATTATTATTGCATAATTCATTTGGTGATTCTAGTGATTGAAGCTTTTAGTTTTGCTTTCAGTTATGGTCTTTTAACGTCTTGGATAAGATGCAATTAATCCACCCGGCCCTCGCTTCCCCCACCTAACATAGATTCATGGATGCCAAGTGATGTTCCATTCATTTATTTTTGATAATGTCAATGCCAAAATAATCAGAATTGGCCATGTGGAGTCTCTAATGATAAACCCACAATATTTGGTATGTGAACTCTCTGAATGGGATACCAAGGGACATGTAGTTGATAATTTCAACTGAAAAGTGGAAACATGTATTCCAAACTGATATGGCCTAGCCATGTTATAATCAGAAGCTGGCACTGTAATTCAAGCTATCCCAGTGTTTACCCCCCTCCCCTACCCCCCGCATCATCATGTTTATCAGTCTAGAGCTAGTTTGTAGTGTGTAGAAATCTGTAGATCTTGGCTGAACTAATCATTTACAATTAATCATTTTATAATCATCATTCAAACATCATTCATAATCATTCCTTGAGGACCTAACTTCTAATAAAGCAACATTGTCGAGAAGTTTCTCAGAGTCCCAACATTGCTTTTATTGAATTAATTTTAAGATCAATGATATAATTCCTTGGTGAAAACTATTACAACACCATCTTTTATATTGTACATATCATTTATTTTATACCCCTAGGTTTCTATCATTAACAGGGCTGTTGATCAGGATATATTTACCAGTCATGTCTTATTTGTTTGAGCTGTATTTGCCAGTCGTGTTTGACTAGAGTTCTAGACGCCTTAGGCTTGAATTTACTCCTCTGGATATATGTTGAAATGAGCTCTTTTTTTAGCTTTATTTGCCATTCATGACAGGCTGAAATGACACATTTTCACTGACAAACTTTTAGTATGAACGGGTCATATTTTTAGACATTTCACAAACTGTCTGGCATAAAAATTCTCAGTCAACAGCCCTGTTGAAGAGCCTCAATTTGATTTTTATAAATAATTTAGCTCTAGTTGTTCTTTTAAGAATTAGTCCACTCTTTCTAATAGTCCCCCGTTTTCCCTTTTTTGCAAAATTTTGTGCTATTTTAATTATATATTATAATTTTTTCTGTTTTTTCTTTGGATCGTAGATTTCCTATGAATATGCGTGTAATTTGCTTTTCCCCTCATTTTTGAATATTTTAAGTCCCTTTTTTTTAAATTTTTTTTTGATATTTTTCAATCAGGGTCAAATTTATTTTTACTATTTTAAGTTTTTTGATTTTTTTGGTGAAACATTCTAATATATCTGTTTGTGTTTTGTTTTGTAATTTTGTAAACAAATTCCATGATTATCAGATTGGATACAAATTTAGTTTTCATTTTATGTTTTTTTCTGATCGTTCCAAATTTGTATTGTTAAGTCTTTTGTAGATTTTACTTAAAACTGTGTTGTGTTTAAGTAGGGATAATCCTTAAAACATATAAGATAAAATTGTGACAGTGAACTAGCTATATTTCTTAAAATATATTTTTTTGAAATTATTAAATCAATTATGCAATAAGCATACTATAATAAATCATTTCTAAAATTTGTGATATATGATAAAAAAGTTAATTTTTTCAAAAATCTAAATATTTTTGATTTTAGAAATTTTGTGCATACATTGCTTCCTCCCGAGTGTTAAATATCTACTCATCTTTGAATCTCTTTTCTTCAAAATGAGATTGTAAACTCTCTTAAAATTTTTTTTTTGATATGGAATAGTGTTATTGTTCTGTAGAAAATATATTTTGTTTATGATTATAGCGCTAAACTAGGGGCATACGAGCATATTTTTTGCCCTATCTCGGCAAATTTGGAAACGTGCGCCACATATATGTGCCCCTCTCGTGATTGTGTGAAAAATAAGCTCGTTTGCCCCTTGCATTGTGATGAGCTTTCTTATCATTTTGAATTTTTTCCTATCAAATTTAGAAACTTTGTTAATGATTTGTATATATGCAGTATATTTTTAATAAAGTTTTATATTTATGTGTTATCAATTTATTGAATCGACTAGTTTGACTGATGACAGGCAACGCCATACTTTGTGCAATGATGTAAAATTGTAATAGCTGGACATCAAGGGTGTTTCCCTTCTAATTTTACAATATGAAACTCAACAAATATAATTCACAATAATCACAATAAATATACAAACATTTTCAATTACAAATATATAAATATTTACAAAATATACAAATATATAATATTTGCCATGGTTTGTCACTGATATGAAAGACATCGAAGTTTTGCTACGAATTTGTTTAGCTTTTGCATATAATGACTCCTCTTATTTTGGACCAAATCAGTTCTGGCAAGATGTTATGCTGGACTTAAATGGTGTTTCCTACAGTGACGTCATAAACTGGTTCTCCAGACCTTTTATATAAGACTTTAAACCAAGAACAAAATGGCGCACCAGTAATTAAATGGCCGAGGGGTTGTCAATGATTATTTCCTGATCTAGTTTTTCTTTGGCCTCAATTCGACTAAAATAATTATACATAATGATTGTCGGAACTAAAATACATAAACCACCTAGGGTAAACGCAGTCGTAATATTGAACTGCGGCGACCAGAAGAAATGGTCCTTTCCGGCTTGGAATTTAAATAACGTCCAAAACAACGTCGCTGATGGCGTCACCAACGACTGTACCACTACGGCGTAGACGGCCCCTTCAGCGTACTCGATTAGTAAGAACTGGAAAAGGTTGGCCATACAATACCCGACTATAAATAACCACATTTTACCCATTAATCCATTACATGATGGATCAGCCAAGGTAAAAGTACAGTGTATACCCCGAGATAGCTTGTCACCAAATTGATGGATCGATGATGCCTGAAACATAGAAGATGTTAATGTAGAAGCAAACGGAGACAAGACTGATTTAATTTCATTGTGGTCAGTAGCTTAACTAGATGAATGGGGTTCCGTGGACTGAAATAGGTTGGATCGTCCGCCCGGGAAAGTTTAAAAAAAAAAAATATGCTCGCTGCATTTATTTCTGGATGTTAAGGTCTCCATAGGAGTCGGACCCGTGGACTTGGTTCAGCCTCTGTCGTAATTTGAGCTACTTGAACTAAACTCCGAAGAAAAAACACACAAATTAATTCTTTACCTCGCCAAAACCAGGAATAAAGTCGACCCAGAACATGGGAAATATCGTCAGAATCTGGAACACTTGAGTCCACATCAGGAAATTAAACGAATGGGCCTGAAAAATAGATAAACATAATATGTTTAGAATAGAGCTGAACAGATAAGCTTGTAGACTAAGGGAAAAGGCTACAGAATCACAGAATTATAACAAAAACAGACAATAGAACAATAATAAAAAACAGAGGGAAGAAATAATGATTTTTGATTACGAACTGTAAATTGGTTACGTAATATACACAGTATTGCCTGCACGTGCACTCTTTGGGTACGTATTATTGTATTGCAGAAGTTACGTAATTCATTACATTTGTTTACATTTTGATTGCTGTGTTTTATCCTAATAAATGAACCCATATCAGCCATGTGTTCGATAATGCAAAACTTTTCGATGTATTTCGTAGTGTTTTGTTGTTTGTTACGGAACATGTCGCCAGTCGTATCTGACAAGTAACTAACTGAATGAAAAAAAGACAGCAATTTTTTCGGAGACCTTACTCGAACTTTGTGTGAAAACAGTAGGCTACTTAACCGGATCACTCAAGAAGTCAAAATGCTACTCACAAAATTTTAACGCAAATATTTAGAAGAACATATCCCTTCAATCTTATCAGCTGGCGAAGCAGAAATTTGAGGAATATATCCCTTCAAGGTTAGTAAAATTTCTATGAATAATTATGACGATCTTTTATCATTATCAGCCTCTCCCTTTCAATTGAAAATTAACGATCAATACTATCATCATATTCTACTATAATAGATTTTCTCCTTGCGGTTGGAATTATGCTTAAAGGTATTGCTTCGTCTTATTTTATAATTTTCATATTTTTGTTTATCACGATCATGACCATTAAACGTATACACCAATCTCAATGGTCCAAAATGCAACAAAATCAGGGCAAAAGCCTGTATTTTATTTATAAGCTATTTGACTTTTAGGCCATTTAAGATAAACTTAGGACGTAAAACTCTATTTCATTTTTATTTTCTTTGACTTTTAGACCCATCATATTGTTGTGCTGTTTGTTTTGTTTTGTTATTTGGGATTTTTTTTTTGGGTGGGGGGCTGTTACATTATCTCTCAATTCAATTAAAATAATTGCAGAATTTCTGGCCGTTAACAATGTCTAACGTTGAGTTGTCAATCTGAAAATGAAAAATTGGATTTCCAATAGCTGAATTTGAAGACTGATATCCCTTACAAGGAAATCCGCTACTTTCATTGAAGTTCTATGGCGGATAATTAGATTTTAATTATAATCAATACAAGGAAGAAAATGGTCGTCAAACAATTTCTCGACTTATGGCTACCATGGCCGAAGAAGATGAATTCTTTTAACACGTTAATCATTCATTCATTCATTCATTCATTCATTCATTCATTCATTCATTCATTCATTCATTCATTCAGCTCTAATCTACATCATCCATTCATTCATTCAATCATTGAGATCTTTCCAGCATCATCCAGTCATTCAACTCTAATCTACACCATCCATTCATTGCTCATACCTACCCCATTCATTCTTTCATCCATCCATTCAGCTCTTTGCTCTTGCCTTCGCTTTTCATTCAGTCAGTCATTCTCTTACATGCATTATATATTATTCATATCATATTATATTCATCTTACCAACCCAACCCCATACTGCATTCACTCATTTTGTGTACGTACCTCATCACTTTTGAGTACTCTCTCACAAACTGCATTCTGGACTCCAATGGGAAGGAAACCAATGGCGAATGCCATGGGCCACAGTATTCGTGCTAGAGTGGACGTCGTACTGGAACTGTTGCTGCTTCCGTCCAAGTTCCAAATCTGGGGTTCCACTGTTATAAACAATGCTATCAGAACCACTCCGACACATACTAATCTCTTGAAGCTTATGCCTGTAACACAGAAAATTTAAAAACAAAAATCTTGTACGACAATCTTATTAAAATACAGGCCCTCTTTTCACTTACGTTTAATGTTTCCTTAGGGAATTGTAAAAAGGTTTTCTAAACTTATGTGTATTAAGGACAGAAATAGCACCGATGTACACTACCACCAGACATCTCGCCAGTTCTCAAAATTCAGCTTAAATTTATCGTTTTGTTGAGAAGTTGTCGCCAAAGTTGCTAATAATATCAATGGGGCTTTGCGAAATTGATCTCCATCAACTGATATTTATGTAGCCTTAACCCTTTAGAATTCGTGCGTACCTTTTTTTAAAATCAGGAATCTGAAGAAAACAGTAAAAGGAATGGAGGTGGTGGCTAGAATTCCTTGTAAGTATGGCGGAGTTCTATCTGGAGGGCTGGAGAAGACGACAAATATACCGTTCAAGGTGGTTGTCAAACCCATCACGAACAACCACTTCCACGCCGCACAGGGCTTAAAACTCAAGTCTTTCTTAATGGTGTATTTTATCAACACCATAACCACTACGAACACAATCATAAACCAAATGTTACAGATCATTAATAGGGCGAAAGTATCGCTTCCGATTACGTTCATTGTTCCTGCGTACACTGGTAAGGACACATTCATCAGCACGTTCCAGACAACGTTCATTACGGCTAAAAAGATATTTAGAGTTCCTCTAGAAACGAATCGTGGTTTAGGTTTGCTGGCACCATCGTAAGGATCGCTGACAACATTTCTGAGAATGTCATCTTGTTGGACTCCCGATTTTTTTCCAGACAACAATGGACTCTTCTCCTCCGTTTCCTCGTCTACCCTTAATAGAGACATTATGTTGGTTTAATGTCTCGTCAACTACAAAAGATGAAAAATGGATAATGAATGAATGTTGGTGCATGCCCATACACAGAATGATTCGTGCGTGTATTTCCAAGAGATCTGTGATCAAGGGGAAATAATAACAAATGAATTATTATACCAATTAAGAGCCAAAATGAAATTTTTGCCATTTAAAATCAAAATAAATAAATAGTCTTCAGAAAAAACTGAATGTAACGACTTAAAGCGAAAATGAATTTTAACAATTTCAGCAATGAAAAATTACAATATATAGATAAAAAGAGTATAATATTTCTATTAGAAAACTCAAGAACCAGACGAGAAAAAAGGGGCCAGTATCCCTTTAAAAACTGAAATTATCAGCTACAGTATCTGAATAATGGAGATTGTAATTTGATTAATCATTGTTATATGATGATAATAAGGGTCGTTTAGTTAATTTGGCTATTTGTTTTATGTTACCGGTATGTCGCAATCTCAAAAAGTTTATATAAAGTATGTATCACAGGAGAAGAAAACGGGTGTTTGGGAAAAGATTTCTCAAAACTTAGTATCTTATAAATCATAGACTCACCATAACTTGTGGAATTGCAGGAACCACGGGCGTCTGGTTAAAAACTAGAATGGTGTAAATTGATGCTATCAGTGTCTCTGATACACATAAGAATTAAGAAAACGTTTTTACAATCCCTTTAAGGTAAATGTAAAACTTAGGAAACTCTGATTGGTTGATATTATGGCAGTGATCTTATTGACCAATCAGATTGACAGAAGTTATTGCGATACGAAAATTTTGATGTTTCTGACAGTATTCACCTGGTTCCTTACTACTTCCGGTTCAACCATCTTAGCAACAATTCAGCCGAATGCCTTTGTGGATAGTCAATTATACAGGCAGTTCAATTTGATTTAAACCAAAGCATTTCATGTAGAACCAATTTGCTGAAACCAATGACGAATCGTTGAATAACCAAAACCCAAAGAAATAGTCATATTATTTTATTTTGGGTTTCGCTAACAAACAATTCGTAATAACCGAAGACAAAAAATATCAGAGAAAAGATACGAAATTTTAATCTTATTTTGATACGAAGTTTAAAGCTTGTTAATTAAAGGGATTGTAAAGAGGTTTTCTAAAAAATTTATGTGTATCGGAGACACTGATAACATTGATTTACACCATTCGAATTCTAATTACACTGGCTGTTAAATTACATACCTTAATGAAATGTCTTTCAATTCTCCATTAAATATATGTAATAGATCTAATTACATTTCAACATCACAAACAGCCAGCGACTCACGGATGTTGTAAGCTTGTTAGCCAAGCGTTCGGGAGAAAATAGACTAAGCATATGACTTGACAAGAGCCATATCACGAGGGGTGTCGAATTAACCCACGTGCTCCCTTGTGACATTGTAAGGATGGCTGAGTATTAAGTAGGTCTATAGAAATTTTGTAAATATACATCTATAAAAACTACTGTGTCATCTTTCAATTGATAACCATAAGCTTATCTAAGAGGTTGAAATGATTTCTTAATTACAAGCAGTCACGGGGCTTCCCCTTTTTTTCTTTGGGACTCGTGGCGTATTTCAATTGCCCCGGCTTTGCATCCCCACCCCCACCCCCAACACAACTTTCAAATTACTTAGAATTGTAAGCCCCCCCCCCCCCCCTTTCACAATATTTCCTTCACCTTCCCCCTCCCCTAATGATTCATTGGAGCGCCACTAAAGAGAGCCATTGTTGACAGCAATGAATTCGGTACATTACAGGGATAGTGTCGTCCATTTTCCGTTTTAAAGTTCACGTAGTTCGAAACATCAGCCTCTGATGGATATTTTGATAGTTGTGTTCTGGAGCATGTGTCCAACATTTAGGCTACCCTTAAGTTCAGAGTCACGGGGCTTCCCCTTTTTTTCTTTGGGACTCGTGGCGTATTTCAACTGCCCCGGCTTTGCATTCCCACCCCCACCCCCAACACAACTTTCAAATTACTTAGAATTGTAAGCCCCCGCCCCCTCCCCCGCCTTTCACAATATTTCCTTCACCTTCCCCCTCCCCTAATGATTCATTGGAGCGCCACTAAAGAGAGCCATTGTTGACAGCAATGAATTCGGTACATTACAGGGATAGTGTCGTCCATTTTCCGTTTTAAAGTTCACGTAGCTCGAAACACCAGCCTCTGATGGATATTTTGATAGTTGTGTTCTGGAGCATGGTCCAAATAGCTAAAGTTATCCAACATTTAGGCTACCCT